GATGTGCTTCGTAGGCACGGGGAGGGGGCGTTCACCCACCGTGCCCCCCGGGACTGGGGTAACGGGGGGGTCACAGAGCACAAAGGGTTAGTGCTGCGTGCTGGGGTACCTTGGGCTTTCTGTGGTGGGGAGGAGGGTGCCCTGCATGGGTTTGGCAGGCCCGTGGGTAGGATGCCGGGAGAGTATCCCTGCCTGGATAGAGAGGGGAGCTGCAAGGCTGGAGTTTCTGTCTTTCCCTTCATGTGCCTTTCTGTCGTCCTGCTTCTTGCTGGCCACGTGTCTCCTGCCTGGAGCCTCTGCCTTGGTCTCTGCCCTGTGATCTGCACCGTCTCATCAAGGCATCCAGTCCCTGGCCCTTCCCCTGGGCTGGCCACCTGTGGGGCTCAGAGCCCCACATACCGGAGCTGTGCCTGGGCCCACTGTATGCACGTTCTTCTGCAGCTCAGGGGTTGTAGCTGTGGTCAGTACTGCTCTGCTTTCTGTTCTCGATAACCTCAGCTCACCTCTTCATTTTCTGTATATCTCTGGGAAGCTGCCTGTATTTTTTTACTTTGCCCAGCAATAACATCAGTCCTGTTCCTCTCACCTGCCTGTTGGGGCTCAGGCTGCACTGTCGCAGTCTTCGTGCTGAGGCTGGGATATTAGTGACTCCTCAGCATGAATTCTTGCTGAACTCTTGGATGTGTCTTTTCAGGATCATCCCTAGCTCTGATAGCTCAAAGCTTCCTTCTTTGGAGGAAGATTTGTGGCTAATTGTGGTGCGAGTTTCTTTGCACTGCAATTGTAATAGGAGTTTGTGTTAATGGATCCTTTTTCCTTTTCAGCACTGCAGAATGGAGAACTATAAGAAGACCAAAATTGTGGAGAAACCTTGTCCTCTTCCATTTACTGACCTGCCCCCTGATATAATTGAAATGAAGGTGAAGGATGGGAGCAAAATCAGGAATCTGATGGGCTATGCCATCGGGAAGATGGAGCTGGACTCTGTGAGGCAGATTCTTTTCACTGGCTCCGGCAAGGCTGTCAGCAAGACCATTACCTGTGTGGAAATCATGAAAAGAAGGCTGAAAGAGTTGCACCAGATCACCAAAGTGCTCTTCAGACAGATCGAAGAGATCTGGGAACCCATTGTGCCTGAGGCTGGCCTCGATGCCTTGACAGTGAAGAGAAACATTCCTGCCATATGTGTCCTACTCAGCAAAGATGCCCTTGATCCTCAGGAGCCGGGATACCAGGCTCCTGGCTCTTTTGATTCCTTCTGGATTGAGACACTTAAATCAGACTCCCAGGGCCAAATGAAGAGGAAGCAAGGTGGAGGAAGGGGAGCTGGCAGCACAGGGAAGCATCCTCGCTCCACTGGAGGAGGGCCTGGAGAGTCCTGCGCCAAGTCCTGAGACACCCCCTCCCTATTTTGGTGTTGTTTGGGGGAGTTACAGAAGAAAAACCAGCTGCTGTAGCTGTAAAGCTGCTGCTGAACACGGGGGCTTGCAGAGTTTCATGGGGAGGGCAGGAGAAGTTAACTGTTTCAAAATGGATGTGATTGTAGCTGTCTGAAACTGTGTTTTGGCAAGTTTCCATGTCAAAGGCTGCCGAGCTGCGCTCCCTAGGGTGCAGTGCAGGGAATACAGGAGTCCACCGACCATCAGTGTCCTGTCAGTGACCCCGGCGAGCAGCTGCTCAGCCAGAGCGGGTTCCAGCCACCTGGGGCAGTGTGGCAGCCCTGGCAGCAGGCATGTGTGCCAGGTGCCCGCTTCTGTGGCTGGTGGAGGTGGCTCTTCCTGCAGTACAGTCCCCACCTGACACCACTAGAACTCATGAGCAGACAGTGGGCATGGGGCTGGGGTGGCCACTTGGTCTGTGCTTCCAAGTCTGCTGAGCCCATCAGGCTTATCTGGATGTAGGACTGCAGGGACAGAGCTCTGCAGCTGTGGGCACACAGACCCCTCTCTGTCCTTTCCCCTTGGTGGAGCAGACAGTTACACCTCTCTCTGCCAAAGGGGCAGGAGTCGACTCGTGTCCTGATCAGCCTGAAATCCTGTAGCTTACCAAGTGCCCTGGGGCAGTGGTAACCATGAGCTCCAGAGGAACCTGCTCTTTCCCCTTTTCGCTCCTTTGTAATGTGCCGGGGTGGGTTTAAAATAAAGTTGCCTCTTCATGTAACATGAAATTTGTCATGTCTTCCTCATCCCACTGGAGGTCACCCTGTGAGCATTGTTGCTGGGGCTGCTGCCGCCTGCTGAAACTCCACTCTTTCAGCTCTCCTTGAGGAGAGTGGAGCTGCTGCTCTTCATTTGTTCCCCTCGTGGCTCTAAATGGACCCAGATGCAAAAGGAAGGGTTTCTTCCCTTTGCCATTCACTTTTAACATCCAAGAAAGGTTAAGGTGGTGTTATTTCTTTGTTGTTTGGGCTTTTTTTGTGGGTTTTTGTGTGTGTGTGTGGGGGGTGTTTTGGGATTTTTGTGGGGGTTTTTTTGGTTGTTTTTTTGTGCTGGGAAGATTTTTGTTGATTTTATTGTTGGTGCTTTTTGAGAACAACAGTCTCAAAAAAACTCTGCTCGAGCTCTGCCGAGTGAGGCAAAGGACAGCATCCTTTCTTGTGCAATAGTTTCCTTTTTGGAACAGCTCCGGTAAGGAATGCTGGGCAGGAAGAAAGAGCTATTCCTGTTGACAGGATGAGCTCTCACCAGAACAGCTCCTGCTCACTCCATGTCCTGAGCACTGCCTGTTCTGCCTGCTCTTTCCAGGTCACTGTGTTGGCGAGCTGGACCTGAGGCTCAGCTCTGTCGAGTTAGTGGGAAACAACACAAGCATTTAAAGAAGGGATTTTGCCTAAATCAGGGGCAGCAGGAGGGAGGTGGTGCATTACCTGTGTGATCCAGTGCCTCCACAGGGCTAACAAGGTGCTTGGGGAAGTGCCCAGAGCTCTTCTGTGCCAGGGCAGGTGAGATGGGGATGGGGCAGAGAGAAGCCAGTTGATCTCGGTGTTGTTTCCAGCTGCTTCTCCCTTACATCTAAGGAGGAGACTGCTTTTCTTGGCTAATCAGCAGATAAGCAATAAATGGCAAAGAAAGATGCTTGAATGTCTGATGAGGGGGTTTCTGAACCAGCAATGTGTTTGTTTACTGTTAGTATCGCCCTCTTAGGGGAGTGCTGGGACCTCAAGCAGCCTGTGCAGTCCGCCCCTGTGGTGGTGGCACGTTTCACAGCTCCTCATCGAAGCTGCAAAGTGATCTTGGTTTTGGTTGAGCCGTTTGAAGGTTGCCCTCAACTGACTGCAGTGGTGCTCCCTCCTGGGTTCTGTTGGCACTCGGCAGTGCTGGAGCTTTCCTATCCCTGAGCAGCCTGTGGGATCAGCCAGGAGCAGTTCCCAGCTTTCTTACAGATCTGCTCTTCAGCAGATCTTCTTCTGCTCTTCTTCATCCAGCTGCTTCTTTCACAGAATCCTAGGGGTTGGAAGGGACCTCAAAAAATCATCCAGTCCAACTCGCCTGCCAGGCAGGATCACCCAGAGCACATCACACAGGAACGTGTCCAGGCAGGTTTGAATGTCTCCAGAGAAGGAGACTCCACAACCTCTCTGGGCAGCCTGTCCCAGGGCTCTGTCACTTTACTACAGTAAAGTAGTTTTTTCTGATGTTTACGTGGAACCTCCTATGCTCCAGTTTACACCCATTGTCCCTTTTCCCATCACTGGACACCACTGAAAAAAGCCTGGCTCCGTCCTCCTGACACTTGCCCTTAACGTATTTGTAAACATTGATGAGGTCGCCCCTCAGTCTCCTCCAAGCTCAAGAGACCCAGCTCCCTCAGCCTTTCCTCATCAGGGAGATGTTCCACTCCATCATCTTTGTGGCTCTGTGCTGGACTCTCTCAAGACTAGACTTCCTTCTCCCAGTGTGGCACACCATGCTGGGCTGCCTGGCTGGGCAGACCCCTGTGCCCCATTCTCACCCCGTGTCACTGCTGCGTGTTTGTGCCACCAGAAGGACACTGTGGCTGTAGCTTTCCAGCCCAACTGCAGGTGCTGAGACCTGATCCTTCGGCATCTCCAGAAGCACTGCCACCCATGGGGAGAGACCCCTGCCTGCTCCCCAGCCACGTCCCGTGGGTGCCACGTCTGCCCTTCACCAGGAGCATCCCCACTCCGGGATGACACCCCACAGCAGAGCTCTTGCTCCAGCCCCTGTGTGGCAGTTGGACTCAGCAGGGATGCAGCATCCCCCCCAGCCAGGGACAGGCTGCCCTGTGCCTCAGTTTCCCCCTGCACAGGATGGGGAGGAGACTCCATCCTCGGGCAGGACAGTACAGCCAAGAGCTGCAAAGGCATCACGGGCAGGGCAGTCAGAGCAGGCCGGGCAGCACAGGAAGGCAGCAAGCCCAGTATGGGCACGACAGGCAGGGTAGTACAGGAGAGTGAGACAAACACGAGGGCAGAACAACGGAGTGGGCAGGCAGGGCAGGATGTGCCGGGCAGGGCAGGTAAGGCAGTACAGGTAAGGCAAGGCAAGGCAGTGCAGGCAGCTGGGGTGGTACAGGAGGGGCAGGTGGGTCAGGACGGTCAGGGCAGGAGGGGCAGGTGGGTCAGGGCAGGCCGGGCAGGTGGGTCAGGACAGGAGGGGCAGGAGGGGCAGGACAGGAGCGGCAGGTGGGTCAGGGCAGGAG